TCCAGGAAAAATACTGTTCTGCAAAGTTACTTAGGTTAGTTCTTTTTCTTCCCAATTCCTTTCAGAGTTGTCATGTTATCCATTTGTAATCATAATAGTTTTGTACTGTTGCATTGCAAATTGCCACAGCTTGAAACAGTACATATTTATTATCTCACAGTGTCTGTGGGTCAGGACACTGGGCCTGGGGCAGCTGGTCCACTGCTTTGGGTCTCAGCAGGCTGGGTGAGCTGTGTGACTCAAGTGTCAGAGGGGGCTGCAATAGTTGTGGCTTGGGTCTCTTTTTTAAGCTAACTGGTTGTCGGTGGAATTGTTTCTTAGGGTTGCAGAACCAGGGCCCTGACACACGGCCCTCTCCAGAATGTGGCAGTTTGTTTCTTCAAGGCCAACCAAAGAGTATCCTTGCTGCTTCAAATCTGTATCACCCACACCCTCTTTTGAAGGCTCACCTGATTTGGTCAGGCCCACTCAAGATACCCTCCTTTTGATGAACTCAAGCCAACTGATTAGAGACCTTAATTACATCTGAAAAAATTTCCTTTTCCATATAACATAACTTGATCGTAGAGTGACATTCCATCCTATTCACAGGCCCTATTCACATGTAAGGAAGGAGAGGCCATTATACAGGCTGTGTGCACCAGGGGATAAGAATTTGGGGGCCATTTTAGAATTCTGACAATTTTAGTAACTACTTAAATTTATTTGTTCCTTTTCATGTTTCATTCTGGGTGTTTCCCCACATGCTGGTTGATTTTAAAACATGTATTTTTGGGGGGTGCCTGGGTGGCTCAGTCAGTTAAATGTCCGACTTCAGCTCAGGTCACGATCTCATGGTTCGTGGGTTCAAACCCTGTGTCAAGCTCTGTGCTGACAGCTTAGAGCCTGGAGCCTGCTTCAGATTCTGTGTCCCCCTCTCTCTCTGCCCCTCCCCTGTCACACTCTGTGTGTCTCTGTCTCAAAAATAAACAAGCATTAAAAAAAAAATTTTAGGGGCACCTGGGTGGCTCAGTTGGTTAAGCGAATGACTTTGGCTCAGGTCGTGATCTCACAGTTCGTGGGTTTGAGCCCCACATCGGGCTCTGTGCTGACAGCTTGGAGCCTGGAGCCTGCTTTGGATTCTGTGCTCCTCCTATGCTCATGCTCTGTCTCTCAATAATAAATAAACGTTAAAAAAAAAATTTTTTTAATTTTTAATTTTGCCCCTCCCATGCTCATGCCCCTCTGCCCCTCCCATGCTCATGCTCTGTCTCTGTCTCTCAAAAATAAATAAACGTTTAAAAAAATTAGAAAATATTTTTAAACATGTATTTTTTAAAATGTTTGTTTATTTTGGGAGAAAGAGGCAGAGAGAATGGGAGGAGCAGAGAGAGAATCCCAAGCAGGCTCCACTCTGTTAGTGCAGAGCCTGACTTGGGGCTTGATCCCACAAACCGTGAGACCATGACCTGAGCCAAAATCAAGAGTCAGATGCTTAACCGACTGAGCCACCCAGTCACCCCTGAATTTTGAATCATAGTTACAAAGGTTTCCTGATACCAAGATTAAAGAGGCATTCACTTATGTTTTTTTCTAGTACTTGTATGTTTTTGATTTCACATTAGATTCCCTAATCCATTCAGAGTTCAATTTTGTGTATATCTTGAAATAGCAGTCTCACTATGTTTTGCCAGATGGCATTCCGTTCTCCAAGCACTGTTTATTATGAAGTCTATTTTTACCCAAATAATTTGAGATGCCACCTTTATTTTCTCATGTGGGAGGTAATTTTTAAAAATTAAATGCCGTACAGAGGTGCCTTGGTGGCTTAGTTGGTTAAGTTTCTGACTGAATTTTGGTTCACAGTTCATGAGATCGAGCCCCACATCAGGCTCTGCGCTGACAGTGCAAAGCCTGCCTGGGGTTCTCTCTCCCCGTCTCTCCCTGCCCCTGCTTGGCTTGTGTGCGCTCTCTCTCTCTCTCTCCCTCACTATCATTCAAAGTAAATTAAAAAAAATTAAATACGGTACATTAAGAATGAAAAGTTTTAGTGCTTCTATATAGCATTGGCTCCTTCTAGAGAAAATTTAATATATTCTGGTGGGCATTTAATGTAGGGAAAGGTCATGCTTATCCAATTGAAGCCTTGAGATGATTCAAGATGAATTTCAGTCTTTAGGAAAAGGTATCTATTTCTCGTTTGTTCTTACTCCTGGGGTGTGGCCTTTGGGGGTCACAGCTGGAATCCTGGGGTGTTCCTCAGGCTTGCTTCACATTGACGAGACCCAAACTCTAATTTTTGTCTTCTCAGCATGTTAAGATTGCTGAAGTGGTGTAGCTACTGTTTTGTGCATGGCTTTTCTGCCTCGTGGCCTGTTACTCAGAAATAAGTCCTGGCTGTCTCTGCTGCCCTCTGGGTTTAGTAAACTACTTTATCCATCTTTTAGAACTGTTCTTGGTGAGAAGTTTAGTCTGATACCCTCATGGCTTAAAGCAGAAGGTTGAGAATGTTGATAATTATGACTCCAAGCATGATCTGAAAGATCATCAATAATACAATTCAAACCAGAGAGTAAAAGCAGATAGAAATCATGCATGAAAACAACAACAACAACAACAGCAAACAGGGGTGGCACAGTCAGTTAAGCGTCAGACTCTTGACCTCAGCTCAGGTCATGATCTCGAGGTTCATGATTTCAGGCCCCGCATTGGGCTTGGTGCTGATGGTGTGGAGGCTGCTTGGGATTCTGTCTCTCCTTCTCTTTGACCCTCCCCACTTTGTACTCTCTCTCTCATAATAAATAAATAACCTTAAAAATTTTAAAAAGAAAAAAAATAGTAGAATTGGAGGACAGATCCAGGAGACCCATTTTGCAAATAATGGGGCTTCTAGAAGGATAAAAATGAAGAAATTGAGGAGAGGACGTAATTAAACAAATAATGGAAGAAGATTTCCCTGAGCCTATTAATGACCCAAGTCTGTACCCAAAAACTGCTCCCCTGTGGTTCTTGGTGAGGCTGAGGAGAAAAGATACACATAAAACATGTCAAAATTCCTGAACTCCAAGTGCTTTCAGACACAAGAAAAATGAATTACTTACAAAGGAAAATCAATTGGACTGGTATTTGGATTTCACACCTGTAACTCTGGAGGCCAGCAGGTGCTGGAATCGGGTCTGTGGGCAGCCAAGAGGAAAGTCACGTCAGATAGAATGGCCCCTCATCATTCCGTTCCCCTGAGCATAGGAAGGATGTATATAGTGCAGATGTGCAAGGATGTAGTCACTCTTACCACCATGTACCCCAACTGCAAAAACCAAGAAGATCAAGGAAAATAAGGATAAACAACACTAACCCACAAGCAGAAAGCAGACCTCAAGGTAAGGGAAGATGAAGAAGAAAAGACCTTTGTACAGGACAATATCTTGGAATGCTTAATGGTCAAAATTCTAGGAAGAGAAGATACAATGCTGAGGGAAATTCCAACGGTAACTTCAAATGAATAACATTAAATGATCTCAGCCAAATCTGAAAGCAGGGATGGGAGTGAGGGGCAAGGGGAGGACAGAAGAATGTCTCACAAGTCTCAAGGAAGAGGGAGGAGCATGGGGAAGTCCAGCAGGTCACCGTGGGGTGTCTGCTGACATTCTCTGTATGAAGCATCTGTACTCAAGGTCCTATTAGGGCATAGTCATTTGAATCGCCTTAACACAGGACTCCACAGCCTCCTTTCACATATACAGCCCTGATCCTTGACAGTTTTCTCTCCCCTCCTTTTTTTTTTAAAGTTTATTTATTTTGAAAGAAACAGAGTGCAAGTGGGGGAGGGGCAGAGAGAGAGAGAGAGAGAGGGGGAGAGAGAGAATCCCAAGCAGGCTCCACACCGTAGCACAGAGCCTGATGCAGGGCTTGAACCTACGAACCTCAAGACCATGACCCAAGCCCAAGTCAGATGCTTAACCTACTGAGCCACCCAGGTGCCCCTCTCCCCTCCTTTTAACGTCGAGAAATGAGAAAACCCAGGAAGTCCAGCTGTGTGGGTGGAAGTCCCAGTTCTGCCGCTGAGCAGCTGCCAGGATGTGGCAGGTCATATTTACGGGCACGTCCACTGCAGCTGGTGTGCAAATTCTCCAAGAGGAATTAAACGTAAAGTAAGGGAGGGAGGCAGCCGTCATACATTCCTTCCCTCTTCCCTTTACCCCTGGTGTGTCAGCATTTTGCCATGCGGGGTCGTTTGGTTTGTGTGATTCTGTGTACTGGGAACTCAAGGGATATTTCACATGAGGGTAGCTGGGATGTTGGGAGCCGGCTGGGATAAGGGGCTTTGAAACTGGCCGCCACTAGATAAGGGACCAAAAGCTGAGAGGAGCTTCTCAGTGATTACTCCAGCTGGCACTCCTGTGTCTTCTCAGCCTGCAACTCCAAAGGCACAGAGCTCAGCCTCCTTTCCAAAGGATAATCATAAGGGAGCAGAGGACTTTTCTTGTTTTGTTTTGCATGACTGGGAATTACTCTTGAGAGAGAAATGTTTCCATCACATGAAGACAGTTGCTGTGGACATCTGTGTTATGCAAAATCTCTCCTCTTGATAACATGGATTGAAATGACATTCTAGATATTTCTCTCTTACAAAAAGAGGCTTTTTTTTTCTTTTGTAGTATTTATACATGTTCACTGCAGCAGAGAAAATGAGAGCGATTCAAAAAGTAATTAAGCATATTTTTACACGCCCAGAAAAAAACACAGTTTGATGATTTTCCTTCTAGAGAGAGAGTTCTCTATGTAGATCTGTACATAACTGAAAACAAATCACATCTTGCCATGCATGCCATTCTATAATTTGGTTTTATTTACTCAACACTATGTCTTGGAGAGGCTTCTATCACCATAAATACAGACCTACGTCACCAGTTTAAGGGCTTCATAGTACTCTAAATTCTATGTATCATAACTTCCTTATGGGTATATTTTTTTTGTATCACTGTATGTTGGCAATTCTGACTAGAAATGTGTCTGTCCAGGCTGGCAGGAGACTCTGAGGAGGAGTGGCTCTGGGAGGAAATGAGGCCTACTGCTGAGTCTCTGGTCCTGTCTGGGAGGAACATCGTGCTGGTGGCTCAGAAGCTCCATCTTCAGCCAGGATGTCAAAGCCACCAGGAGGAGCTAGTGACTACAGCTCAGCAGATCCTGGTGGACACCACAAAGGTGAGGCTGGTATCAGACTGGCTAGCTGGTCGGTTGGACATAGCTCATTGCTGGGAAGCATGGATGGGGCAAGTCATTCCCACAGTGGATGCCCCTGCAGAGAGAGACCTCTGCCCAAGCTTCCGGCAGGATCACAGCACAGAGTTCATTACCAATTTAATAAATGCTAAGTGTGGAAGCTGCCATGGGGAGCTACTAAATTAGGGTCTTTTAAAAAAATTTTTTGGGGGTGCCTGGGTGGCGCAGTTGGTTGGGCGTCCGACTTCAGCTCAGGTCACGATCTCGCGGTCTGTGAGTTTGAGCCCCATGTCGGGCTCTGGGCTGATGGCTCAGAGCCTGGAGCCTGCTTCCGATTCTGTGTCTCCTCTCTCTGCCCCTCCCCCCTTCATGCTCTGTCTCTCTCTGTCTCAAAAATAAACGTTAAAAAAAAAAAATTTTTTTTAAAAGTCTTTATTTTTGAGACAGAGACAAGAGTGTGAGCTGGGAAGGAACAGAGAGAGAAGGAGACACAGAATCCAAAGCAGGCTCCGGGCTCTGAGCTGTCAGCACAGAGCCCGATGCTGGGATCGAACTCATGAACCACGAGTTCATGAGCTGAGCCAAAGTCAAATGCTTAACTTACTGAGCCACTGAGGCGCCCCTAGGGTCTGTGGTCTTAAACCCATGTGTGGCACCTCATCCCCACACTTGGCAATCAACCCCCTAATAAGAAGGTATCACTGAGGGACTCACTTTTCACCTTGCCCTTGGCCAGGAGCTGTGGGGGAACATTTGCTGAAACCTCTGCAGGTCTCAACCTATTTGGTAAACCCGGCTCCAAAGTGAAACCTCTGCTGTTAGGATCTCCCGAGGCTAGACCACCCTCTTGGCCTCCCAAGACTCCCCATTTTCCTAACATTCCACCATATGGCACAACTCTTTTAGGTTGGGGCATTGTTCCCTGTTAGGATCTATATAATATTATCACAGTATTATCAGCATTCATCATTAAAGCTTTCATAATGTGGATTATTGTTGTGTGGGGTGTGTGGGGGGGAGGGGATGAGGAGTGTTGGCAACTGAACAGATCCTCATTAAAGTGAGATTGGAAATGGGGACAAAGCCCATAGAGAGGCAAAGCCATAGGGCTTTGGGCACCTGCTGATGGGAGTAGCAGAGGGGAAGAAGGGAGGGTCTTGGAAGTGTTTGGGTGCCAGCTCTGTTGCAGGGGATGAATAGAGCCATCCAGGAGGGGTAGAATCAGGCTAGGAAAGATTCTCAGAGTCACTTCCTGGACAGGCCATCTTTCCAGCCTCCATCATCCTCATCCAAATAGTAAATCCTTCCTGAACACTTTGTGGTAACACGTGGGTTCCCAAATAAGACAGTTGGTTGTACCTCTTCTGACCTGGAGGTACTCAATCCAAAACCAAGTTGGACCCGACATTAAATGTGGGTCAAATTTAGGAAGCCTCACGTTTTCAGTTAGGCCAAATATTTTCCTTAAACATCGCTCCTAGATGACTTGTTTTGTTTTGGCCCTGACATTCTATACTATTTAGCCTTGGGATGTTTGTGAAACAGGGGGTGAGGAGGTTGATGGGGTGAAGGGGGTGGCAGGGGGTGAGGGGGCTGGGGGGAGTGGAGGGGGTGAGGAGGGAAAGCAGCTGCCGTTGCTTCTGCTATCGCTCCAGGAACATGCCAGCATTTTCAAGCTTCTCTTCCCCTGGCTGCCCATACAGGTCCTGCTCCTAGAAGACGCGGCGATGGCGAGGAAGATAGTGCGGGCGGCGGGTTGGTGCCTGACCTGCCTGGACGCGCTGGAGGACGCGGACGACGCGGCCTCGCTGCGCGGCCCCTTCGCCGACCTGGCTGCCGCGCTGCTACGCCTGGGCCGCCTGACTGCGCGCGGGCCCGGGGAGCGCCTGGACCACGCCGGCCGCCTGCTGCGGGGCTGTGTCCCCGCGCTGCTCGAGGCCGCCCGCGGCCACCTGCAGCGCCCTTGCGACCCGCAGCTGGCCGCTTCCCAGCGCCACACTTTGGCCCAGACCAGGAAGACCCTAGGCGAGCTGCTGGCGCAGCTGGAGCCCAGCGCCGCGGCCCCAGCGGCCAGCGCCCAGACCGGCGCGCTCACCTGGCGCCTGCGGCGGCTGCGCGAGCTTCTGTCGGCGCCCGGGCACGAGCGCATGCGCGGCGGCCCTCTAGACGCCCTGTTGGCGGCCGTAGTGTGGCACTGCATGCGTCTGGCCGCTTGCTCCGCACCGCCCGAGAGGCTGCGCCTGGTGGCCCGCTGCGGCCAGCTGCTGGAGCTGCGGAGCGCCGGGCGCCTGGGTCGGATCGACAGGCATCCGGGAGAAGGCCGGGCCTCCGGGAGCCTGGAACCCGGGCAGGAGTGTGCGGAGCTGCAGGCCGCCACTGAGGCCCTGTGCCAAGGAGTCCGCTCTGGGCTGCTGCACCAGATCCTGGACACGTTCACTGATACGCAAAGCCCTCTTCAACGACTGGTCCAGGCCGCCTTGGCCACTCGCCCAGTCAGCTCCCTGTGTGATGGCCAGGCCTTGCCAAAGAATCTCCAGCTTTTCCTTGCTGCTTTCCGTGACCAGGCCAAGCAGATGCTCAGAGTGGCTCACTTGGTCTTGGTTTGCTGCCCTCGACAACAAACTGGCAAAGACATGGAGGTCACCATGGCAGGCCTTTGGGGGCTTGTGGTCAGAGTGCAGCAACTTTTCTCACAAAGTCCCCAAGGATCTGGTCTGGACTGGAGCCCAGCTGCCTTGCAGGCCCTGCTTCAGGCATGGACCAGGGCATCGGAAGGCCTGTTGGCATGTTTTGATGATGTTCTCAATATTCCTGAGTTTCTGAGTGTGTCCATTCAAGAAATGACCAAGCACTTGGACTTCTTTAGATGGGCTTTGAGAAAGGGAGATTCCAGAGACTTTCCCCGACTTGTGGCATATTTACAGGGTCGGGCCACTCACATAGTGCAGGTGATGAGCAGGTATGTGGACCAAGATCGAGATCCCATTTTCCGGAATGGCCTGAGAGTCTTGATCCAGCAGCTGGAGCAGTCTTCCCTGTTCCTGAGTGCAGCTGCTGAGTGCTGTTTGGGTGGGCACAGTGCTCAGGACACAGAAGTATTTTTAACCATGGCAAAACATCTGATTTGTTCAGCCCAGAGCATCCAAGAAGGGCTGGATGGGACTAACCACCCAGATATCCTCAGCCCACTTCGGGACCAAGTCCAAAGGTTTGACACTGCTAAGGAACAACCTTATTTTATTCGCCCCAGCCTCCAGGACTCCACAACTCCTGCACTGGAACACCAGGGAGAACCTGGGTTGGGGGAAAGCAATTCAGGCATCTCCTATCCACTGAGGAACAATCTTTCCCACCCTTTGATTCCTGCCATGCATCTACAGAGTGGGGACCCTCCACTACCAGCCGTCAGCAAATTCATCGTTGCTGTAGGGAGCCAGAGCCACCAGGCAGTGACCACAGCTAGCACCAACCTGCAGGAACAAAACGCCACTGTGGATGCAGCTCAAGAGGCCTTGGCTGGGGAGGGACCACTGGGGTCAGAGGGGATGCCTGGACTCCAAGAAATCCCAACACTAACACCTTCTATTGTTGACCTAGGAACAGAGATAGAACCTTGCACGACTGCTAGAACCGGCGGGCTTCCGGAAGTGGCTCTCCAGCTGTCTGGGAGACCCAGGGAAACCGGGCAGGGCTTGGTAGCCAGGGCTGGTGACTGGTACCCTCTGTGTCAACAGCTCTTTTGTCACAACCCAGCAGGTGATCTTCTAGGGAACATGGCAGTGTTCATGGAGCTGCAGCAGAATTTGGCCTCAATGGTTCAACTAGCAGCCAAAAGTGAGCCTGTGGATTGGGGTAAGAAGGACCCTGACTCAGCTGGACGTCCAGAAGCACTTTTACAAATGCAAGGCAGATTGGAGGAAGTGCAGACCCATGCTAAACAGCTGTTGGACAAGGTTCTGGCTTTCGATAGCCTCCAAGCCCCTACGTCATGGGACGAAAGCTTTGAGGATGGGTGCCTTCGATGGTCAGTGGCTGTCCAAGACCTGCTCCAGTGCATGGAGAGACTCAGCAGGAGACAAGGCCTGTTCTTACTGCCCCTGCGGCGGGCCGTGAAGGACCAGCAGGGACTGCAGGAAGAGTTGGCCCAGGCAGCAGCTGTTTCTCAGAGGCTACTAGAGGCTGCCAGGCTGTCTGGCCTCCTGTGTGGGGACGCGCAGATAAAATGTGAGGTCTCATTTTTGTGCAGGGAAATCCATGTGCTCACAGATGCTCTGCTGGATGTGGCACAGATCCTGGCCTCCTCCCCCAAACCATCTCCCAGTCTGTCCACACGCTTTGAACTCCTCTGCTTGGAGTTCTCCTTTCAAGCCAAGGCCCTCACTGGCCACCTCAGCATCATCAATGCAGACTATGAACATGTCTTCCAAGATGCCTTCTATCCAAGGCTCTCTGTCTATAAAGAACCTCAGGCCAGGCCAGAAAGCTCCCTGGAAAGAATGGTGTCTGGTATCCAAGCTGCACAGGGAATTGTGGCAGGAAGTCAAGAGTCTGGGCCCTGCCAGGAGGACCTTCTTAGGGCTCTGGAGAGCATTTTTGTCCTCACCCAGGAGGTGGCCCAGAGGGTCCCAGTGCTCCAAGAACACTCAGAGGAGTGGAGAATGCACACCCTGGACTGGCTTCAGTGGGAGTGGGCAGCCAAAGCCCATCATGCCATGGCCCAGCTCCAGGCCTGGAAAGGTGGTCACACCAAGGCCTGGGCACTCTTGGCCCAGTGCCTGAAGCCCAGTGATGAGACGGCAGTGATGAAGCCCAGGGATGAACAGGCCTCTGCCCAGCCCCAGCTCCACTGTGAGGAGGGTGCCTCAGGAGCTGTTGCAGTGGGCAGTGTGGATTCTCGGGGTGCTGCCCCAAAAGACACCCCAGGGAACTCAGGGGGGGCCTGCACTGTGGACCCAGACGTCACTGGGACAATTGCAGCAGACCTGGACACGGTAGGACTGCCAGCATCTTTCCTTCTCCCCCACCACCGCCCTCTTTCTAGTAACCAAAGGCCACTGCCAAGTTCCAGAAAAAGCTGTCTTGGTGCCCACATGTGTAATTCACATCTGGCAGGCAGCACAGTACAGCCTTTGAGAGCCTGAGATCAGGAATCAGACTGCCTGGGCTGTGCCTGCCTCTGGCATTTCCTAGCTAAGCTTCTTAGCTACGTTGGCCTTCAAGATTCTAGTCTAGAAAATGGGAATATTGATACTCTTCTGGCAGAGAGTTAATGAAAGCTTCCATGTAAAATACTCGCACTTGTCTGGCACATAGGAAGGGTCCTCTAAGTAGTGGCTATAATTACTGACTTATGTGAAGTTTTTCCCCGTTGGCCCAACTGGAAATGGTCCCCCTTTGCTGTGACCGACAGTACCTCTCCTGTGGGTCAGGCTGCTTCATGCAGCCTGCACCAATGTGATGTTACCTCCCTGTCCCAATCAGGGTTCTTTTGTTTGCAAATGGCAGGGATCCAGCAGGAAGCAGTGCAGGCAAAAAGAAAGATTTATTAGAAGGGCGCTGGGTCTGTTGAACACCTTCCACACATAGTCATTTCCTTCTAAGGCACCAGACAGGACAGTCAGCCATTGTGGAGCCCAAACATCTGATTTACTTATACCGGCTATCACCAAAGTAGGTTGGCAGTGCCCAAGAAATTCCCTAGCAAGCGTGCTCAGCCCAGCATTTTATTCACCACTCGATCTATCCCCTCCATGACCTCATGCTTGGCTGCATGGACCCTCCCAAACCCTTCCCTGGGCCTTCTCCCAACACAAAGCCCATCAGACCATGTGCCCCCACCCCCTTACTCTTCCTTTTTCTCCCTGAAGTGTCATTACCATGAGAGGGGACCCTCTTCCCAAAGTAGTTGGGAGGAGAGCAGATACAGTGCCTTTTTCCCTACAGCCTAAGGCCTCTTGCCTCAGATTCCCAACCCGCCTAACAGAAGAAGGCTGATGAACAGTTTTGGAGAGGCAGGGAATTATTAAATTGAAGAAGCAACAAGAAAGGATAGCGAAGCCAGATGACGCCTCAATACGCACAAGCACAGAGGGGCGTCTGGGTGGCTCAGTCTGTCGAGCCTCTGACTTCGGCTCAGGTCAGGATCTCGCTTGTGGGGCCTGCATCAGGCTCAGAACTTGTCTCTCCCAATTTCGATAGAATTTATTATCATGTTCAAGACTTCACACCTTTCCAACAGTGACACCTAACAGTTATATCCCTTCTGAGGCATTAGTATGCTGCACTGGGGGACTGGAGAAAAAGCAGGGCTGGGGGCAGGCCCGAGGTCCCTCCCACCCCGTTCCCTTCCCACCTGCACCTAGGGCACAGCCCTTGCCCTAAGGAGCTCAGGATCTGACAGGCGAGGCAGAGAGAAATCAAGGCCACTCTTGATCCTCTGCTATTGGCTTTGCCTCCAAGCCAGAACAACTTGTCTCAATTCCAGAGTCTGGAAAAGGCTTAGGGGAGGCTCCAAGAAGGGTCCAATAAAAAAAATCACCTGGTCCAATAAAAAAATCACCAGGCCTAGTGCTGAATGCCCTGCCCACTTCTGGATGCCAGCAGTAGCTCTCTTTCTCACTAGAAAATTAACAAGGAAGTCCATGGGAGAGAATTCCTAAGTATTCATATCAGAACTGTAAAGTGCTTTCATGTAGAATGATTGGTGAGAAAGTGTCTGGGTCCCAAAGTTAGAACATTCAAGGATTCCTGCATTTCCTCAAGAAGCTGTAAATTCTCCCATGTAAGGCCTAAAACTTGACAGAAGGAGAGAACAGGTGGTATTTGAACCGTACTGGGATCCCAGCATGCCAGGTTTCTGGATGAGCAGAGCCTGGAGGAATAGGGATTCACTGTTTCCCTACCCACGCGGAGTAAACTGCCTGGAGCTGCCAGCATGTGGGGAATCAGCAGGGTGGGAGGGACCTCTTGACTCCCACTCTTCTTTTTTTTAATGTTTATTTATTTTTGAGAGACTGCATGAGTGGGGGAGGGGCCGAGAGATGGGGACAGAGGATCTGAAGCGGGCTCTGCGCTGACAGCAGGGAGCCCGATTTGGGTCTTGAACTCACGAACCATGGCATCATGACCTGAGCTGGAGTCTGACGTTCAACCGACTGGGCCACACAGGCGCTCCACCCACCCTTCTTCAAAAAGTGGCGAGAGGGCCCTTGATAGCAGCACAGGAGTTTCAAGGCCTGAGCATCTGGAGTCTCATTAGCTGTACCCTGTCCTTTGGCAGGAGCAGCCGCACAGCCCAGCACCTGGCTCCACAGGCCCACTGGCCTGGCTGGGCCCTGAGCCGGACCAGCTGCTCCCGGAGGATGGCGGCGTGGAAGGGGGGAGCAGGATCATCCAGATTACCCGTGAGATGGCTACAGAGGTGCTCCTGATGGCTCAGAGTCTGAGGAGGAGAGGACCCGTCTTGGTACTTGGCCTTCAGCGGGCAGCCATGGTAGCAGGGCTGGGTACCCTGGGGGAAGAGAAGCCCCCGACTGCTGCCCTGCAGGAGGTGGGCCAGGCCAGGCAGGGCAGCCCCCAGAAAAGAAAGACCACACTGTGGACTAGTGGGATTGTAGCGTTCTAATGTGCTGTCTTCTTCCTCTGTCTGGGTGTGTCCTAGAGTTCACTTCTCTTTTTCCCTCTTCTTTTGTGCTCAGTCACTAAATCTTGGTTTTATGGCACCAGGGAAGGTAATTTGCCGGAAACTGCAATTCAGTAAAACCAAGGACTCATTCATATCCCCAGAAGGATGAGCTGAAGGGAGCTATTTACATTCTTAAAAATTCCCCCAAATGGAAATAACAGAGCGGCACCCTCCTGATGGATAGCCATTCAGGGCCAGCACAGCCTAGAGGGGGAGGGGGTGGCTTTCCACTGGCTTTTGGAGACCACCTGCAGTGCTGTGTGGCCGTTCTAACTCTCTTTAGTCCTCTTCCTGATTCAAACCCAGCAGCCACCACACCCAAGGCTCAGACCTTTCATTGCCCTGCCCAGTTGAAACAGTCCCTTTTTCACAGGGTCGTTACATCACAACGGGCAGTGGTTACTTCCTGCCGACTCCCATTTTCTTTCCAAACATCTCAGGTCTTCTAATTTATATAGGACTTGGGTGCTGGTGGTGCTGTGTGGCTGAGGGCCCAGGAATATACTAATCCTCTACCCCATGGAGTGTTCCCTGGGGAAATGCACACATAAGGGGAAATGCCAAAAGAAATATCAAATGATAATTTTAAAATGTTTGTTTTGAGTGAGCATTAAGTGGGGGAAGGGCAGGAAGAGAGGGAGAGAGAGAATCCCAAGCAGGCTCTGCACTGACAGTGACAGGGCTCATCTCACAAACCATGAGATCATGACCTGAGCTGAAATCAAGAGTCGGCCACTTAACTGACTGAGCCACCTGGCACCTCAAATGATAATTTTTAACAGTGAGGCTAGTGCCTGGTAAGATGAAATGCCTCTGCAGAATTCTCCCACAAACCTCCCAAATCTCAATGTTAATACCTCCCAGATTTTAACAACCAAAGTCAAACAGAGAAAAGAATTTAAAATAGCTGCTGAGGGGGAAACTGGCAGCACAGGGGTGCGGGACGTAAGGTTTCCTGAAGCAGAACGTCAGATCCCATGACATTAATCTAGAACCCACCATGCCAGCAGCTCTTCGGCTCAGAGCTGGAGGAGACGAGGAGGGAGGTGGGAAAATTGGAAGACGGTGTCCCTTGGAGAGACAGAAAAGGTAAACACTTCCTTTCGTGGTGGAGGTCTGCATACGCTTACTCTCATGTGGTTACTCGCATCTCTGAGACCTCTTCAGGGGAGCCCTTCCCCTTCCCACATGGAGGTGATCTCATGGTAGACTTGCCACAACATCATGGCATCTCACATCTTCGTTTGCTCAACAAATACTTGTGGCACATCTTCTGTGGGCCAGCAGAGAACAAAGGCATTCCTTAGTCATTGTCCAGCCTGAAGAACTGTAGCAGTACTGTTTACTGTATCAAATATCCCCAGGGAAAGGGGGGGGGGGGGTCTCTCACCCTTCCCTACCAGATTCTTTTATTATTCTTTTTCATTCTCATCCTAAAGACCAGTGATTCTGAAATCAGGTCATCAAACCCACACTTAGCACATCGAGAGAGCGAGTGGATGCAAAGAGCTTTTCTGTGTCTGTCTTTTATCTATATTAGTTGCCTCAACATACACCGTTATGTTTAAGATTTTATTTGGATAAAAGGTGCTGTTTTCTGTCACCCATTAAGGATCATTTCCCATCTAAGAAGCTGTACGTGTAGCTGTAGTCTACACGTACCTTTGCACCTTTGTTGCAGCCAAGATCACCTTCAACCTGGATGTTCCCCATACCTGGACCTTCTTAGGGGCCTCATTTCTGCCCTGGGCCTGCTGAAAACTAACCCTGAGCCAGTGCAGGCCACAGCCCCCATGGGAAAAGGGCTAGATCATGAACAGGAGGCTGGGCTGCTTTCCCTTCAGCAGTTCCCCCACAGAAGCAAGGGCGTGGACTTCATTCTGCTGGCTTTCAGGAGAGTAAGCATCTGAGTGGCTGGTCTTGAAGTCTGTGGAGGAGGTTCGAGAGCTTATGGTTTTAGACCAAGCTAAGACACGTTCACTCTGGGGCTGAAGTACATTGTGCTAGGCAAGTTTGGGATGCTTTACGATTTGCCACTGATTTCTTCTGGAAAACCTGTGAGGGCTTTACCTACTTCTGACTTTCATCTCTTTGATATAGACCAAAGATCAGCTCATTACCTCTGCTAGGAAAATCGCGACTTCTGGACAAAAGTTCGCCAGACTTATCTGCATCATCGCCAAGAACTGCATAGATCAAAGATGTTCCCAGGAGCTCTTGTGTGTGGTAGACCAGATTCAAACAATGAGCAACCAGCTTCGCATCATCTCCAGGTAGGAAACGGTTTTGGTTGTGACTGCTGTGCTCTGCTTTCTCAAGAGCCAGAGGGAGGGCTTAGGCAGTTCTTTTTCTTTTTCTTTTTGTATACTTTTAAAAATATTTCCTTCGGGAGCCTACATTTATGTTGAGGATACTAAACAAATGTTGAAAATATAGAGAAGTATTACAGAGGACAAAAAAATACATTTTTAGCCACTGTCATTTCTCCCTTTATCTCAAAAATATTAGATCTGGTAATATACATAAGAAAGGAAAAAAAAGATTGAACATGGAAAACTAGTTCCTGAGGAGGTGTGAACATAAAGTAACCATAAGGGATGTTTAAAACCCAAATACATCAGGACTTCTGTTCCCCTTCAAGGCTCCCCTTGCTTCACAGTGCTGTGCACCTGCTCCAGCGGTCCTATGCCCTCACATCACATCAGAGTTCCATCTGCAAACGTAAATGCCTGATCTCTACTTTATAACCACAGTTAAATTTTGACCATTAGTTCTTTTATTTGTTTTTATACTAGGCATATTTAACCAAAAAATCAGTTATCTAAAAATACATTAATTACAAAGTGAAAGCGCCATGAATGTAATCGGCCTAAGAAAAACTATACCAGTACACGGCTTACATTAAGATTTATTCATTTAATGTGCTCAGACTTTGGAGTTGAGCAGTTTTTATTAATTGTCTCCTTATAACAGCTTTTGTGTTGGTAATATAGAACATCATAATGGCAGCATGGAATGGTTTCATTTCACCCTGAGTCTCCTGATACCTGCATTGGCACATTTGTCAGTAACAAACTTGTATTCATAATATTCTTTTTTTTTAATTTTTATTTTTTTAACATTTATTCATTTTTGGGAGATAGTGAGAGGCAGAGTGTGAGTGGGGGATGGGCAGAGAGAGAGAGAGAGAGAGAGAGAGAGAATCTGAAGCAGGCTCCATGCTCTGAGCTGTCAGCACAGAGCCTGATACGGGACTCGAGCTCACGAGCCATGAGATCATAACCTGAGCTGAAGTCGGACACTTAACCGACTGAGCCACCCAGGTGCCCCAATATTCTTTTTTTTAAGTTTATTTATTTATTTTGGGGGGAAGAGGGCAGAGAGAGAGAGAGGGAGGGAGGGAGAAAACCCCAAGCAGGCTCCATGCCGTCAACCCAGAGCCTGACACTGGACCTGACACTCAAACCCACGAACCATGAGATCATGACCTGAGCCAAAACCAAGAGTCAGATGCTCAATTGACTGAGCCATCCAGGTACCTCCCATATTTGTAATATTCTTATATTATGGGAAAGCTTGATAGCTAAAACTATTATCAGTCACTGTGAGGCATAAAAATAACATTGCTAAGACCAGGGTATATAAATTTTTTAAATAATTATATAAAAATAAAATGTGGCTACTCTTCTCTAGGAAATAATATTTCAGGTATATAATCATCTCAAGGATAGCTACTCAAACTTTACTGCTTAGGACACAGGAACTGCAGTTAATGTTAGCATTTCAGTTATGGGTCATGTTATAAGGGTACCTGGGATTTGTTTCAATTAGGTATGGTAACACCTGCAAATGTGGAAAGGACTTTCTTGGAGGAAGAAGATTCCTAGGAACAGGAGGCATAGCATGCCATACAGGACCACACAGGAAAGTGCCAGAGTTGGTCAAAAAACAGAGGGAGCAAAGGGGAAACCTGACGAGAGCCTTTACTGGAGTTTTCGTGGGAAGAAATGGGCATGGCAGGGGAAGCAGGCAGATTTCCGATAGACTGGATTGAATATTTTCAATGAGCCCTGGAGTATGGAGATTATCTCTAGTTGTCTGGTACCTAGCCCTGGGGCAGGGCTATGGCCCCAAGGGTAAGAGCTCCACAAAGGAGGTATTCAAGACAGGGCTTTGCACTGGCTAGTTTGCAGGTGTAAGTGCCAGGAGTCATTTACTGACTCTCTAAGAAGCGGCTAACGCCGCAGGGGCGGTCTTTCCAATGTCAGTAAGGTCCTAAAATGTCAACGCATCAGAAATACAGAAAATAAAAAGACATGATTAATACAGGTATATTTATCAAGCTCTCAATCCTTTAAAGGAGGTGAATTTCACAACATCTTTATTTACTTTTGTAGTAAACAACTTGTATAACTAAATCCAGTTACATTCACTATAAAACAAATATCATTGAGGTGTATAATTTAATTAGGAGGTACCGGTCTGATCTTTGAGTAGAATGTTTTTGTTTTTTTTTTTAATTTTTAATGTTTACTTATTTAGAGAGAGAGAGACAGAGACAGAGCATGAGCAGGGGAGGGGCAGAGAAAGAGGGAGACACAGAATCTGAAGGAGTCTCCAGGCTCCCAGCTGTCAGCACAGAGCCTGATGTGGGGCTCAAACTCAGGAACCATGAGACCATGACCTGAGCTGAAGTCGGACACTTAACCGACTGAGCCACCCTGGCGCCCTGAGAACTATTAAGTCCTGAGTACAATTGTATGCAAAATTTCTTGTTGCCTTCCTCATATATGGATGTTGGCATTTGTTCTGCCACGTCTCTTCAGTTATTTTCTTTAAAAACATACTTCTTGTTAATTTGTAGATAACTGTCCGATTCATACTTTCTTAGTACTAAAACATAAATTTTATTTTAAAAATGTTACATTTGCCTTCGGAACATTTTTTTCCCCCAGAGTAGTCCCTGTAAATGCATCCCAGTGTTCTGGAAGAGTCTCACATTGTAGAACCTTCCAGTATTTATTTGAGACGGCATCTCTTCCCTGGTGTAACATTGTCTGCTTTCTTCCTGTAAACTCTCAAGTGTAAAGGCCTCTCTGGCAAGAAGCAGGTCCTCTGAAGAGGTCCTGCTGGAAAATGCTCAACAGCTCCTCCGGGCCGTGTCCAAGACCGTGAGGACCACAGAAGCTGCAAGTCTGCGGGTAAGTGCTGACCCCATCTGAAAGTGGCCACTGGCAGAGACTACACACATATGGCACCACGGCTCTGGGCCACAGGCAGAAAGAAACATTTATGAAAATGTAAACTCTGGGGCTTCTGGGTATCTCAGTCGGTTAAGTGTCCAACTCTTGATTTCAGCTCAGATCATGATCTTACAGTTTGTGGGTTCGACAGGGAGCCTGCTTGGGATTCTCTGTCTCCCTGTCTCTCTGCCACTCTTTCTCTCTCTCTCTCAAAATAAATTAATTAATTATTTAAAAGAAATTGTAAACTCCATGTGCACTTGTGATGAGCACTGGCTGCTGCATGGAAGTGTGGAATCACTATATCGTACACCTGAAAATAATCTAACACTGTATGCTAACTATACTGAAATTCGAATTAAAAAAAAAAAAAGTAAACTCCATGAAGCCACAGACCTAGAATTGTGGCTGGTGCATGGAGGTGCTAAGTAAATAGAATGAGAACTTCCATTTCAAGTTTAAAGCAACTTTGTACCGGCTAAGCTCAAAGAGTACATTGAATAGACATGCATTTGAAAAATGGGCATAGTTTAGCTAAGGTTCCAGAGTCTCTTGAAGGCTGAGCTCTTCTACTTAGGCCTGGCCCCGAGGGAGCCGAGTCCCTCCTTACTGGCATGGCCACAGTCCCAGCCTCCCACTCACCCTGCAGCACCACCTGAGGTGGGACAGTCCCCACAGCCCAGTCTCCTAGCCACTTGTTTGCAGGAGAACCTGAGGGCAGGGCTGTGTCCTTACCGTGGGCACCTGTGTCCGGGCTCCGCTTAGGCCACTGGCCAAAGACCCACGGATAGTTTGCATAAACCAAAATGAAGAAAGCAAGATCCAAAAGGAGGCAGAATTTGGGGTAGAGAGAGCATTTTTAATTGGCTGCATTCTCTGAACATTCGATTCTGACCAACATAAGATCCTTTGTTCTGTTGTGCTTCTTTCATGAGAGAGGGAATGAGTGGGCTTTAATTCAGAGGATCCCTTCAAACACAGTTCCTTGATCTCTGTTCAATTAGGGCCAGTGGTGCCTGGCCTGACTCAGTCAGAAGAGCATGTGACTCTTTTTAAATTTAATTTAAAATCTAATCTAATAAAAAATAAAATAAAATCTAATCTAATCTCATTTTAGAGAGAGCATATGAGCAGGGGAGGGGCAGAGAGAGAGAGAGAGAGAGAGAGAGAGAATCCCAAGCAGGCCCCACGCTCAGCATGGAGCCCAATGCAGGGGTCAATCCCATGACCCTAGAATCGTGACCTGAGCTGAAATCCAGAGTTGGATGCTCAACTGACTGAGCCACCCAGGCACCTCAAGAGCATGTGACTCTTGATCTCAGGGTCATGAGTTTGAGCCCCATGTTGGGTGCAGTGATTACATACATACATACATACATACATACATACAAGGAAAAAAATTAGGGCCAAAATGTCAGAAAATGAGCTCCACTGTCAGTCAGTGGAGTCTGCTAACTAAGCAAGAGCTCATGTCAGCTGACCTTGGGAAGGTGTGCACAGTGTCCCCCAGGACATGTAATTACCTCTCTCTCCTCCAGGGCTTGAGACAGCCTTCCTCAGATCCAGAAGAACTGGAAGTTGCTGCCTTCTGTGTGCAGTGGAGAAGAAAACTGCTAAGGCACAGACTCCGAGAAACTTCAAACCTGGACTATGATGAGCTGGGCCTGCGAAAAACAAGCACAGAAGGGCCCCCAACATTAGCAGCCCTGGTTCCAGAAGCATTCTAAAGACTGAGAAATACTCTCTGAGTCAGACTGGCTGTTGATGTGTGCCTTGGCCCTGAGATGGGCAGCCCAGAGTGGGGAGTGACTCTTAGGCTGAAATAGGCTCACATTGTAGAACCTTCTACATGGGGGTTGGGCAGGTTGGGGGGGGGGGGGGTGGCAGGGGCTAGGCCTTGCACAGAGCTGCCTTGGCAGTCCTCCCAGTGAGGGGGAATGTCCCTGGGCCCCTGGTGAGGCTGATCCCCTGGGAATGATACTTCAGTTTCTGGGCTTAGAAGGAACATCACATATAGACTGTAGGAGGAGGGGGAAAAACATCGACGCCCTGTTAGCTTAAGCCTTTATTAAGGTGTTGCAAAGTGAAAACAGTATCAGTTGTGCAGGAAGCCAGGTACTGAAAGATGTGTAGGTTACACTGGGGAGGTCAGTCAAGTTCAAGGTATGGGGAAACTAAAGTTTGTGTTAGCCTGGGATGAGCTCCCTATAAGGACTGGTTTGCGTGGCTACTTGAAGATTGGTTTGCATTTTCTAGGATTTTTATTAAACTGGAATCATGTAATAGTTTTCTTTCCTAGCCCCCCCCCCCCCCCCAGCTTCTTTCCTTCAGCATGATCACTGCAAGATGATCCTTTTCAGATGCTCAGGACTCTTGGCCATACTTAGGTCCCAAGATTTCCTCCTAGGTTTTCTTCTGAAAGTTGGATGTAGAGATTTATCCATTTTATTTATCTTTTTAAATAACCAACTTTTGGTTTTATTGACTTTCTTTCCTAGATTTCTGTTTTCTACTTCATGGATTCCTTCTCTTTAATATTTCTTTTTTTTTTTTTTTAATGTTTTATTTTTGAGAGAGAGAGAGAGAGCACATGTGAGTGGGGGAAGGGCAGGGAGAGAAGGGGACAGAGGATCTGAAGTGGGCTCTGTGCTGACAGCAGTGAGCCCAATGTGGGGCTGGAGCCCATGAACCAGGAAATCATAACCTGAGCCAAAACCAAGAGACACTGAATTAACTGAGCCACCCAGGTGCCCCTCTTTGATATTTGTTATCATGCCTTTGCGCTTAACTTGTTTTCCTTTTCAAGTTTCTGCATGTGCAACCAGAGATCATTATTCTGTAGCATTCTTTTCTTTTTTTTTTTTTTTTAAACATTTATTTATTTTTGAGACAGAGAGAGACAGAGCATGAACGGGGGAGGGTCAGAGAGAGGGAGACACAGAATCCGAAACAGGCTCCAGGCTCTGAGCTGTCCGCACAGAGCCCGACGCGGGGCTCGAACTCACGGACTGCGAGATCATGACCTGAGCCGAAGTCGGCCGCTTAACCGACTGAGCCACCCAGGCGCCCCATGTAGCATTCTTTTCTATTACAGGCTCTTACTGCTGTGATTTCTAAGCACTACTTCAGCATTAGCCTCCAATTTTTATGGTTTTCTTTCTCATACATTCTAATTTCCTTTTTGAATTCTTTGTTGACCATGGATTATTTGCAACTGTGTTATTTAGTTTCAAAGTATTTGGGGGGAATTTCCAGGTATTTTTTTCTGTTTTGATTTCGGATTTAATTCCTTTGTGGTCAAAAGACATTCTTTGTATTATTTGAATCCTTTTAAGTTTACCGAGCTTTGTTTTGGGGCCTGGGGTATAGTTTATCTGGATAAATGTTCCACGTGCAGTAGGGAAGAATGTACATTCTGCTGTTGGTAGGTGGAGTCTTCTATGAACACCAGCTGGGGCAAGTTGATCGACTCTGTTGTTCAAGTTTTCCATGATGTTCCCTGATGTTCATTCTACTTTTTCCATCCATTTTGAGCAAAGGGTATTGAAATCTGCAACTAGAAGTGTGAATTTGCCTGTTGGGTTTAATCTCTCTTAAGAGTGACTGTCCTATGCTGCCTGGGGTCCAACTCTGAACTCTATTGTTTTGTATGTTTCATCTGGCTGTTCTGGGGATGAAGGGTGTGTGTGTGTGTGTGTGTGTGTGTGTGTGTGTATAACCTAGCCTCTGTTACTCCCTCTTGGCCAGCAGGGGAAGTACTTGTTTCTCTTTTCAAACTACCTTTTCTCTGGCTCATGTTTGAGTCTCCTTTTTCAGAAACATTCCCTGGGTCTTCTCCTGCTATTCAGAACCAAGTTCCAAGAAATATTAGTCTATTACTGCTGTTTTGTTTCCTTACCATCCACCAATCCTTCAAAACTCTGGCTTCATTTTTCATTTTTTTTCCAATTTGTCAGATGCAATGGGCTCTTCTCCGAATTTGGTCTCCCTGAGTTCTTGACTGGTCCAACTCCAGGGACCTCTTCCTTCTTGACACTCTCTCCTCCGTGGGCCTCCTCTCTGCAGTTTTCCCCTTTGCTGACTGCAGCTTTTTACTCCCTTTGCTCCCTTCCCCCACCTCCACCTGTTCTCTCCTCCACATTGTCACCCTTTATCCTCTCTAATTGCAATTTTGTTTAGGTCTCTTTGTGGCTTCAAATCCTTTGCCCCAAGCACAGGGGAACCAGGAGTCAGACTGCTGCCGGCTCTTTGGCCCTTGCTGAAGAACCACTGCACCGTCAGAGCAAAGCGTTTTAAGGATAGGCTTGTCGCTTCAGGCATCCGGTCTCTACCCCAGTGCCATGGTGGGGAGGGAGAGCCCTTCCCAGTTGCTCCAGACAGTTGGGAGGGGAGGCTTTTGGAAAGGCCTGTGAGGGAGACAGGTACCAGTTTGAGGGTGGGGTGAAGCTGGGTTGAATCTTGCCACAAGGATGGGATCTGTATCGTGTGTGTCTCATCCGTTCACCCCTGACACCTAGCACGGAGCCCAAAGCGTTCAGTGTTAGAGGTGTGTGAGGGATGGGTTTGCTACTCCATCTGTGAGCGGTTATCCAACATGGCCTCCAGATGGCGATCAGACTCAGCTGTCCTGCCTGTAAGGGGCTGAAACACGTACAGGACCAGTTCCTCCCTGGAAGAGAGGGAGCATTGCAGCACTGGGTCCTTCTCCAAGCACCCTGTGGCTCAGCGGCCACGAGAAGTGGCACCCGGCCACTGTAGTTACATGCTTCCTGCATCTCAGTCTCCTCCATTCAACTGTAAACTCCAAGCCCATCTGCCCCCATTTGCATCTGAATCCCCAGAGCCTACTGTGGAGCCTGACAAAGGATAGGTGCTTAGTATTTGCTGAATGAATACATAAAGCATAGGTGGTTATTCACAACTAGCTAAAATATCTTCCTGGTAAAAATATTGCACAAAGTACAGAAAACTAGGCAATCTCCCCATTTTTCTTGTATGTGTGTATATATATGTATACACACACACACACAGAAATATAATTCACAGCAGTGAAGTTCCAGGTTTATAGAATAAGCCCCACTTCCTGTCTTCCAGGATATTTCTTGGTTTTAAATTCTGGGTTGGAAGCAGGGCTATGTGTTGACCTCCTGATAATTTCTAAAGATCTCACTCCACGGGGCACCTGAGTGGCTCAGTCAGTTAAGCAAGCATCTGACTTTGCTCAGGTCATAATCTCACGGTCCGTGGGTTCAATCCCCACGTCTGGCTCTGTGCTGACAGCTCAGTCTGGAGCCAACTTCGGATTCTGTGACTCCCTCTCTCTCTGCCCCTCCCCTGCTCACACTGTGTCTCTCTCTCAAAAATAAACATTAAAAGAAAATTAAAGATCTCACTCTAGTGTAGTAAAGGCACCCAATCTTCCACACTGTGTATGTACACATATATTTATGCATGTGTTTCTATGCATGTGTAAAATATAAAGTTATGTAATTATTCATTATGCACATTATGACAGTATTTAATAATGTTGCTTTCAAAATAAACACTTCACCTTTACAATCTCTTGTAATATTTTGAAACCAAAATTCAAATCTCGAACTTTTTTGTAGACTTTTGACAAGGCTGTGGGAGCTGGAAGCGTGCCACCCATGTGGATAAAGGCCTCTGATCTGCAATTCCAGTCTGTCACGTCCTAGCGATTATTGAGGGAGCTCCTGCTGAGGAACAGAAACCCAGAAACCACGCGAGGTCCTGGGGAAATAGAGGCAAATAGAGTAAGAGCTCACAGTGCAACAGACGACAAATTCTCAGCTCATTCGCAGACAGCACAATTAGTTCTCTGCTGATCCAGGGGTGTGACAACCAGAGTGGGGAAGGCACTGGAAAAGAATCCTGGAATGCAAAGCCACGGAGTTTGGACTTTTTGTGCAGATAAGGGAAACCCTGGAGGGCTTTTAAGGCAATGAGTGAAAGGATGATAGCTGCATTGTACAATGAACTAACTGGTTGCTTGCGGCGTGGAGGATTCAGATGTGGGCTCTCGCACTCCGTTCGCGTTCCTTTGAGGTGATTCAGCTGTGGGATCTAGCACCCCACCCCAACGTCAGCCAGAACGTCTCCACTTTCATCCAGTTTGCACACTGGGGTTTCGCATACATTTTTCATTCGGGAAATGTAGGATATAAAAGCAGTCTATCCTATCCATCTCTGTAACCCAACACCTACTAGCATATGCTGACTGTTCAAGCAATCTTTCTCAAATGAGTGATGGATCCCAATTTTGTCTATGAGGAAGGTGATGCTCTGGGAAGTCCCGACTCGCCCAGTGTTGCACTGCTCAGGAGAGTATGCTCCAGGACGAGATTGCTAGCTCTCAAAGAAGACTTTTCCACAGAGTTGCTCAATAAGTAAGTCCAGGAATCTACAAGTCCCCCTTATTCAAGACAGTGTGTCCTTGGCCACTGAACATATTAGAACAGAAACCAGAAAACATCTTTTAATGAAGCTTTTGGGCCTTTGAGGGAGTCATGATCAGTCACTTCTTTGTTGCTCCTATCTCAAAGGGAAGTGCATACCCCATTGTTCTGAGCCCTCGCTCTGTGATGAGGTCCCACTCTGGTCCTGAGGGGTCCTGTTCTGCTCTAAGCAGTCCATTTGCTAGCAACCTCTTGGATTTGATCCTTTAATAGAAAATTGTGAGCTAGGGGTACCTGGGTGGCTCAGTTGATTTAAGCGTCTGA